GAGCGGCCACTGCACTCCAGTCTGGGTGACAGAGGGAGACTCCAACTCAAAAAAAAATATATATATATATCCATGAGCTAAATCTCAATTTTTTGAAAGGCTAAAGTACCGTGAATATTCATTACAGTTATCTTAAAGAACAGAATAGGTATTAGGGCTTTAAATTTTATAAATTAATCATAACATTACAAATAACCTTTTAACTAGTTACTATTCACGTAATGAATAATACAAAATATATTCAAAAGTATTATCTGTGTAGATATACTAAAGGATGTAGATGTATAAAGAGGTATTCCTAAAAAGTTACTTGTAATTCAAATATGCACTAGAGAAATTAGTAATTTTGTATAAGAGTCTCTGTAATTACTTATATTTTAGATTCATGCTTGAAGATTGGGATTTTATTACTATGGATGATGACACATAGCATTTAGGCTTACCTTTACTGAAACATTATATAAAAAGATGATTAAATATTCTGTAGTGTATTTGGAGTGAACATCATCTTGAACAGAGATTTTCAAATTTCATTATGTCAACCTCCCACAATATTGTTATACTTGTTTAATGGAAACATTAGGTCCAATATAAACTTAGCAAATGAAAGGTTACAAAATAATAAAAATAACGAATGTAGTTTTAAGTTTGTTTCTCAGCGTTTTCACCCTTCCGTGTTCATACCCGTAAATTCTCTTCAATTGCTCTCCAGTCACTTATTCGCTGGAGAACAATGCTCGTCTTGGCTAAGGCTGAATGGGTTCACTATCACTTCCAGCACAGCCTCGCCTTTCAGCAACGCCATTCCCCTACACAGGGACAAGCTGTTTCTCTGGTGCTCTAAGTGGAGTCTGGTGTGCCAGTCATTCTCCAAACCTCATGCTCTTTAAGTCACAGAGATGTATGTATTTAATGCAATTTCATAGGCGTACCTGAAATTCTTGGTAAAGATTCTGCATCACTGCCAATGTCAGTCAGCACTTTGTGCAGGGAGACGGAAGAAAACGAGAAACTCTCCCTAAGTCTTTGTCTACGTGGGTATTATTGGAGTCTACTATGTAACAGTTTTCAGTTGTGAAATATAGTAAGCATTTACTTTCTAAAAGCAACATTAAAAGGTTTGAAATTGAGCTTTTTAATGGTGCTTTTTATGTATGTTTAGACAACTACTCTATTTATTAAAAAGAGGATACAAGGCACAGGGAACAATGGTGTACAACTATAAAAACTCAGTGTTCTAGGACAGCATACAAAGATATCTGCCAACACATTCAAAACAAAAAGCTTTTGGAATTGCTAGAAGAAAACGGCATCAGGCTTTGTGTTAAAAAACCTCAGATCTTTCAAGGAACTTTGGGCACCTACATCTCATATGTTGCACATGTATTAAAAGGAAAGGGCTTACTGCTAGTGGGCAATAAAGTCAATAAGAGCAGTTACAGTAATTTAACATATTACTGGATATGTCATACTTTTAAAAGTAACTCATTCCAAATTCTTTACATCTTTTTAACTTACTGGCTTTCTAAATAACTTTTTCCACCTTTCTTTTTGACTAAATTGCTCTGATTTGCATTTTTTTCCTTTTTTAAAACATGCAGTTCATACACTTGACAGTTTTGCTACCGTAGTCAATACATTCGGGACCGATGCACTCACAGCAGGCGTTGTGAAACCAGCGGTATTTGGATGCCCCCATGGACTCACAGGATATTTTACACTGATGTATGGACATGCAGTCATCAAAATAGACCACAGTACACATGTGTTCTGAAAAATAAAAATATAAGGTTTCAGAATAAGAAAATGGAGAAACAGGAAATGCTTTAATACTCCATTGAATATTATTGACAGTTATTAATCTTAGTTCTCCTATTGCTGGTCAGCACAGGACAAAGACAAGGTATAGAAAAAAAGATCTTCATTTATGAATTTGTTGAGAAGGAAACCAGATACTCCCACTCCATGTGAATGAAGAAGGCAAAGGGCTTCCTTTGCCTCCTATATTTGATTTCAGACTCTGGTTTAAAGGTTAGATTATCTAGCTTAAAAATACTTATACAGCCGGGCTCGGTGGCTCAGCCTGTAATCCCGTGCCTTTGGGAGGCTGAGGTGAGTGGATTGCCTGAGCCCGTGGGTTCGAGACCCGCCTGGGCAACTTGGTGAAGACCCTCATCTCTACAATAAATCAAAAA